TGATATCATTTTCATTCAATATTGTTAATTTGATACAAGATGATGATAATTGAAATGAAAATGATATAAAATTATTCCCCAGCAGAGTCGTCATCTTTTGTTTGTGGAAAATTTTACAATAAGAAAATGAAAGAATTCTATTTGATTTTTATTCTCTTAATCTTGATTACAATTTGAATTCCCGATTACAAAAGAGAAGAGAATTGATGCAAATCCTCCCCTTTGTTTAAAATTAGGTTCTTCACGATGGCGATGAGATGCCTCCCTCAAATGCTCGCGTTGAGTTTGTTTCTCGTTGACGGTCCGAACGTCTTGTTTCACTGGAACATAGTCTTTTCCTCACGATTTGATGCTATGGAGAACTTGCGTGACAAGTTTTAAAGAACTCTTGATGAGTTGATAACTCTGAATAAGTTTGAAGCTCTATGAAAGAGTTGATTTAACCGAAATCGGTTTGTAAGCCAAGGATGAAGAAATATAATGTTTCTGATCTCCAAAGCTCCAACAATTCCCCCAAAAAGCCAGTCGAATATCTCTTCTTTTCTACCAAAACCTAAGGCTCCGAACTCAGTTGAGTTTACTCCTATTTATAGGGGATTAAGGGGTGTAACCGCCCCCTTAATTCGCTCCTAAGTGGGGCTAAATGTGATGTAATCGCCCCCTTAAACTGCTCTCCAAATCATGGGGAAAACGGTTTTGAAACCGTTCAGTTCGTGCTTTGAACGAGTCAAACGCCAGTCTGGGCGTTCTGGGTCCAAACTCTGCGTTTTAGACTTGAAACACAGAGTTGGGCCTCTTTTGGGTTAGGTCGCGCAGCATTGTAAATCTGAAACGCAGAGTTGGGACGCAGAGATAAACTCCACGTTTTGAGTCTACGAACTCTACGTTTTTAATTAGATCGCTGGGGATGACCTCTGCATTTTGACTCTGAAACACGGGCATGACCTCTGCGTTTTGATGTTGTAACACATGGATGACCTCTGTGTTTTGATGGTGTAATGCAGAGATGACCTCTACGTTTTGAGGTTGTAACGCAGGGAGGACCTCTGCGTTTTGAGGTTGTAACGCAGGGAGGACCTCTGCGTTTTGAGTCTGAGACGCAGAGGCGAACTCTGTGTCTTGATTTGAAGAGACCGTCAATTTGTAGTCTCTTTTGCTGGAGCGTTGCAAAGACTGTCATCTTATATTCTTCGTCTTGGCTCCTTGAAGATATGAAAGCCGTCAAATTATAACTTCCATCGTCAGTGTTTAATGGGGATTAGTTATCTGCATTTATTTTTAGACAACCTACATGTTGATACTTCAACAAGTCCAATAAAGATTAAAGAATACTTTTTAGAGTTTTTAAAAGTAGATAATACTTTGGGAAAAGGTATTTTTGATGAACTTTTAAATATTTTAAAAAAAATATGAACTTGATGTTAAAGAAATAAGAGGGCAAGGTTATGATAATGGATCTAATATGAAAGGAAAACACAATGGAGTATAAAAGTGGCTATTAGATATAAATCCTAGAGCATTCTACACATCATGTGGTTGTCATAATTTAAATTTAGTTTTATGTGATACAGCTAATTCATGTCCTAGAGCTATTTCTTTTTTGGAGTGTTGCAACATATATACTCATTGTTTGCTTCTTTTACTAAACGATGAAAATTTTTAGAAGATAATGGATGCAAGTTATCCGTTAAATCTTTATCTCAAACTAGATGGGAAAGTCGGATTGAAAGTGTTAAAGCAATAAAATTCCAAGCTCCAAATATAAGAGATGCTTTGATTCAATTAACAGAAATTAGTAAATTAGTGAAGATCCAAAGATAAAAAGTGAAGCTAATAACTTAGCAACTTATGAGATTGAAAATTTTGAATTGAATATTTGGTATGACATTTTGTTTGCTGTTAATTCAGTTAGTAAAATCTTACAATCTAAAGATATGCATATTGATATTGCCATAGATCAATTAAATGGTCTTATTGTATATTTAGAAAATTATAGACAAAATAGTTTTATGTCTGCTTTGAATTCAACTAAAGAACTTGCTAATGAAATGAACGTACAACCTATATTTCGTGAAAAACGTAAAATTCATAGAAAAAAATAATTTGATAAAAATATTGGTAATGAAACAATATTTAACGCTGAAGAATCTTTTCGTATTGAATATTCCTTATACATAGTTGATAAATCACTTGGCTCAATTAAAAGTAGGTTTGAACAATTTAAAACGTATGGAAAAAATTTTGGTTTTTGTTTGATTTGAAAAAATTAAAAGCTTTAGATGATATTGAATTGAAAGAATATTGTCTTAATCTTGAAAATGCACTAAAACATGATGAACTTTTTGTTTGTGGAAAATTTGTAGTAAAAAGAAAAATTGAAAGAAATATATTCGATTTGTATTCTCTCAATCTCAATTACAATTTAAATTTCCTGATTACAAAAGAGAGGAGAATGATCTGGATTCTCCCCTTTGTTTAATTCTGGGTTCTTCACGGTGGCGATGGAGTGCCTCCCTCGAATGCTCACGTCGAGTTTGCTCTCCGTTGACGATCCGCACGTCTTGATTCACTGGAACAGTATCTCCTCCTCACGATTTGACGCTGTGGAGAACTTGTGTGGCAAGTTTGAAACTCTTGATGAGTTGATAACTCTGAATGAGTTTGAAACTCTATGAAAGAGTTGATTTAACCAAAATCAGTTTGTAAGCCAAGGACGAGCTCCTCGTTGCTAAAGTTGAAGATTATCTCCGTTGGAGAATGATGCCGATCCCTTTAGGCCCTTTCTGCTCCAAGAAATTCCACCTTTGCTGCCAAGTCCCAGATCCAAAAAGCCAGCCAGAACTCAGTTGAGTTTACCCCTATTTATAAGGGATAAAGGGGTATAATCGCCCCCTTAATTCACTCCTAAGTGGGGCTGAATGGGGTGTAACCGCCCCCTTAAACAGCTCCCCAAATCGTGGGGAAAACGGTTTTGAAACCGTTCAATTCGTGTTTTGAATGAGTCAAACACTGAAAAATAGCGTTCAAGGCCCGAACTCTGCGTTTTAAACTTGAAACACAGAGTTAGGTCTATTTTGGTGACTGAACGCACAGGTCGCGCTGCACAGAAATGAACTCTGCGTTTTGGGCCTGGGACGCAGAGTTGAGCTCTGCATAACTCTGCGTTTTGATTATGGGACACAGAGTTGAGCTCTGCATGAACTCTGCATTCTGGGACGCAGAATTGGGCTCTATGCGAACTCTGTGTTTTGAGTCCACGAACTCTGCATTTTGATGTTGTAACATAGAGATGACCTCTGCGTTTTGAGGTGGTAATACAGGGAGGACCTCTGCATTTTGCTTTTGGGAGTTTGGAACGTGGCCACGAGCTATGCGTTTTGAATCTGGGACACAAAGGCGAGCTCTACGTTTAGATTTGAAGAGACTGTTAATTTGTAGTCTCTTTTGCTAAAGCGTTGTAAAGACTGTCACCTTGTAATCTTCGTCTTGGCTCCTTAAAAATATAAGAGTCGTCAAATCATAGCTCCCGATGTTGATTGTGAAGGCTGTTGATTAGAGATTTTATCAGATTGTAACCTTCATCGATCTACGTGAAAGTCTTCAAATTATAGCCTTCTGGAAGCCGTCGAATTGTAACTTCCATCATCGGTGTTTGATGAGGATCACCTATCTGTTATGATTTTTAGACAGCCTACACATTTAGATATTAATGGACTTGATTTGTTTTCAGAATTGAGAGTGTTTAGGGAAATTTTAAAAGTAGAGATTAATAGTCCAATTGAAGTGTTGAACTATATAAAGTGGTTAGATTCTTTTTCAAATACTTGTATTGCTTACCGTGTACTATTGACTATACCCGTAATAGTTGCTCCCGCTGAAAGAAGTTTTTTAAAATTAAAATTACTAAAATCTTATTTAAGATCGACCATGTTACAAGATAGATTGAATGGTTTAGCAATATTATCTATCGAAAATAATATGTTAGAAAATATTGAATATAAAACTTTAATTAGTAATTTTGCAGCTCAAAAGGTAAGAAGAATGAGATAAAATCTATTATGAGTTGTATCACTTAGGGCTCATCTAATATTTCGGCTTGGGCCCCAAAATTCCTAGGTACGACCCTGCTTTCCCAACCCCAAGCAGAGCTGTTGCAATTGTGGTTCGGTTGCTTGGGAGGGGGATGACGTATACTCAGGGGCACTCGAGTATTTCACATGTTAGATTAAGGTTTAACCCAATTGCCATTAGAAAACTTAAACAGAGTCCCTATTAGAGGGGCAATCTAGCAATAAGAATGAAGATTTAAGGGATTTTTTTCCAGCAAACCATGAGATTTGAGATACTGTTTGGCGACTAGTGTTGACTTAGGGCATGTTTGGATTTAGGTTAGTGAAGGGAAGTTAAGGTAAAGGGGGTTAAGTTAGGGGAAGGTACGGGAATATATAAAACTTATTTGGCAAATTAGTAAGGGGAATTTATCTTACTCCGTTTGGAAAGTTTAATAAAATGAAGGGAATGGAAGGGAATATATGTACAGTGATAAAAATAACCTTATATGTTTTATTTGGTTTGGTATATATGATTTTAAGAGAAAATCTCAACCATTGGATTAGAAGATAAAAATATCTTTCTAAACTTTTTGTTTTCCCCTCCATTCCATTCACCTCCATTACACCCCAATTTGGGGTATAACAGAAGTCTTATTTTTCTCCCTTCCTTTCCCTTCTCTTCACTCCCACAAACTAGCCTAATTGATTGCCCAAACAAGATAAGGATTTACCGTACCCCCCCCCCCGCCCCCCCCCACCCACGACACGACCACACATTCACGTTACCCTCAATCCAAAACACGTAAGCGGTTAAGGGCGGTTTTAAGGGGACTAGGATGCAATTGCCCCCTCCATGTTCCATAGGCATAATTGTGGGAGGTTGGGCCGTAACGGGTCGGGTGCTGTCTGTGCACTTTTATACCTGACCCGTCAAATAAATAAGTTTCCCGTAACAGTAAAGCAGGAAATGACTCATCATCATCAATAACCCCCAGCAGGGCCACAGTCCAAGTCCGATGTCCTCCCGCGACCACGCCACCGCCGCGTTCATCGCGCAACTGTCAACAGTCGGAGACGGAGCCGTCGCTGGAATCCTCCTCTCCCTATGTGCTGCCGGATCCTGGATCAAGTACGCTACCACCTCCGCCGCCCTCCGTCGCATCAAAGACGCTCCGATCGCACAAATCTCCGACCTCCGGTGGCTCATAAACCCTAGCGACGGTGACGGAGATCGAGACGGGGATGGGAGACTCGTCGTCGTCCGCGGCCGCGTGCAGCCTAAGCCTTCTTTCGACGCGAGCTGGATCGGTGGTAAGAGCCACGTCTCATCTCGCAGGGTTCAGGGGATAGGGCAGTTGTTGTGAAGCAGATTCAGACGGTGAGGGTTTTTTGTTGTGTAATTGACATTAATTTGCAATTTCTTTGAGGAATTGTTTGATTTCTAGGTTTAAAATATCTCGCGATTGTTATCTAGGTGGTAGGTAGGTATCACGTTTAGATTGGTAAGGAATTGTAATTGTTCAAAGTCTTTGCTTTTGGAATTGGGGGTAATTTAATTGCTAGGGTTTGGTTAGAGAAAGGAATGTCAGCTTAGTACCTCTTTTGAAATGGGGAGTAGCTAGACCTTTCGCCTTGGCCGGAGTAGTAGTATTGGGGTTTTGTAAAGGTTTTGCTATGTTTATCAGAAATCAGGTCTGAGGATAACACTTGAGAAATTGGATTACTGTTTGAGTTTAATTGTTTTCAAAGGAAGCTGTTGCCATTTGGATTAGGGTTATTAGCCGTTGGCCTTTGACATGACAACTCTATAATGACTAAACTCTTCTGAAGTGCACGCGATGTACTCCTCCCTTTTGAGCTGGCTTAGGGCTGAGAGCTGGTGCACAATTAAGCAAAGCAACTGCTGTCTGTGGATGTCACTTGTTAGCATGATTAGAGTTGAGAGGCAATCAACAATATGGGAAAAAAGGACACTTCTACCAAATGAGAAATTAATCAAATCATGTTAACATTACTTCTATCAATTGAGAAATCAATCAAATTATGTTAACATTGCTCTAACTTTTTCAAGATTAAAGCTGAACAAGCAGAATAAAACTGAAAAAAGAAAAAGTAGTTTGAATACAATTCTGTTTGGCACTCCTAATGTGCCACTTACTGCCTTTTCGTTGATATAAATTTTCAAATGAATTTTGAATACTCGTACCTGTTGGTGACTCTGGTTATGGTTTGATTTGTTCATGTGCCATGTGGATAAGTGAAAGTCCAAATTGATAGTTAAAACTATGGTAAACTGTGTTCAGATTCATTTGTCTATGTCCTTTATCAAAAGTCATTGTAGTTAAGTGCCTGATCTTTCCTTGAATTACGCTTGGCAGGGATCACTCAATTTTTGGGTCACCATCTGAATGCCAGCACTTCTTTTTCTTTGTTTTGATATTTTCTTTGTTGTTATTGCTGTTTTGTGTGCGTTTTTCGCATGGGTTCTTTTTCCCGGCCGGGGGGGGGGGGGGGTAATAGAGTTTTGACGTATGGTATGCACATTTTACAAAGTTCCCAAAGTTTTATATGGTCGAATGTGATAAGCAAAACAATCTAGGCTCTGTAAGGATATAATGAGATGGTAGAAAATATAGTTCACAGTAGTGCGTTTTTTCCACCTTTAAGGATTATTCAGAAGCTACTCAAGTGTATCTTTTACAATCTCCAAAGTGCTTCTCCAATAATGATGATGTATGTTACATAATTTACATTGTTAGGAGTATTTGGTCAGTATATGAACTCTTCCTTTATGTAAGTTTTTTAATCCAATTAAAACCTGTTTTAAATGTTTTGGTTGGACAAACTGTGATGGCTATTACTGAAAAAAAACTGTAACAAAGCTCATCCTGCTTGTTCTTTTGTTATATTGCCTACTGGGTTTGGTACCTGGCTGCCCATCATTTTATAATTTAGAAGTGTTTTGAATGACAAGGTGAAAGAGATGCAGGGTGTTCACCATTTGTTTGCGGGGGCGGATGTATGTAGAAGGTTAGAGGTGCAGTTGCAACCCTAACAAAAGAAATTTTAGCTGAAATTTTAGTCTTTTAAGTCCTTATATCAAGTTGAAATTTTAGTTTTTTAAGTCCTTATATCAAGTTGAAATTTTAGCTTTTCTTTAGTCGTTATAAGTTTTAGGATATTTGCACCCTGACTTTTGCTTATATAATGCCTACCAATTAGCTACCCATTTAAGTATGTAGATTTAGTTCTTTATCAACCAGAAACTCATAAAATCTATTCTCTGTGTCTGATAAGTCTCCCAATCAAGACTCAAGAGACTTTTTTTTTCAAAACTTCTATGCCTTAAAATCTGATTCTCCTATTTCAAATTTTCTGTCTCCAAACCTCTCTTCCTCTCAAGTTTCCTTTTCCGTGAGGTTGTGCCCCAATTCTCTGGATAGAGAGGCGCTTGAAGTTGCTTCTAGAAGCATCTCATTGAAGTTCATCAAGCAATGAGTTATTATTCTTGACCAAGCCTCTCACAGAAGTTTTCTACTCGTCCAAGCTTCTTGTCAAGATCTTATTCTTGTTGAATTCTTGCTCTTTTCAAACTCTGAGTTCTTGCATTTTAGGTGATTTTTAGTTTTTTTTATTGTTTTGGTTAAATAGTTGATTTTGTTTGGTTAAAAGATTCATTACTTTCAATTATTCACATGTTTTCTCTTATGAACACACTTCAAAAAGTTAAATTCATCAAGAATGCAAATAAATTTTATCAATTACTTGGTGCATATCAATTGTTTGTTATATAAATTCGATTTGATGTGTATGTTATATAACGAATATGTTAGAATGCAATTGCAATACTGTACTTTGTAAGATACTTTTAACTATCAAATAGTCATTCTTTTGAATTCATTAGCATAAGTGAGCCATTAGTGAAGATACTCACTTTGTTTATCTATGACATTACAGACCAAAAAAGATGCATGTAGCTGATAAAGTGCACTAAATTGCATTTCCATCACGTGTTATAGTTTTATAATATTATATTTTTTATATTTAGGTAAAAAGTTATTTGTTGTTTGCTCCCCAAGAAAGTTTTCCTCGCCGCTGTTTGCTTGATGTGTTATGCTTGTCATTTAGGAGTTGGCATGTGATTTTTGTTCATCTTTCTTTGCCTATGGATGCTACAAAAATTATACTTTCAAGGAGAAAGGGATATGGTGGATTCAAATATTGTGATTCCACTACAAAGATGACTTAAATATAGGCATAGTTGATGAAGATGTCTTCTCAGGGTTTGGACATATCCTAATCTTCATATAATAATGAGAGAATTCCAACTTTTTCCCTCATATCGATGGGTACTTTTTTAATTATTTCTTATTTGCGAAGATTAAAGGTCATGCTTATTGTGCTAAATATTGATCTGTACTTTGTGATTTATGTTTGTGAAGTGCCTCTACAATGAGTGGAGAGGTATTTTGGGATGGAGGTTTGATCTACATGCATTCTTGGCAAAATCATGGAAGGAACAAAAATCAATTTCATTCAGATCTGTGAGATATTCATCCTACCTGCAAGACTACAAATTTCAAGATTCACTAGTTCTGTTAGCAAACTATGGCTAAACATGACAAATTCGAAGGGTTTGTTAATGTTTCTTTGGAGGGTTCTGCTCACCCACTCCCTCTCACTACTGTTTATCATCAGTTACACCCTGTGCAACCTACAGCTTATACATTTTTCCAGGTCATCTTTGGTAATGGGTACCCCGTAAGTGATAATCATTCTGATTAATCTTATTCACCATGTTGACTTGTGCTATTCATTAAAATACTAAAGTTGGTTAAGTTCTTTGATACTTTTCATACTAACTCAGTGTACTCTATCATCTGGTTTTTGTCAAACATGTCTCATTTTCAGAATTACTTTGATCTTGGACTTAACATACTAATTAATACTCTGATCTTGGACTTAACATTGTCCAAGATCGGGAGACCTGCGCCTGAGGCGAAGGGGATGATTGATACTATGTCGTTGCTTAGGCAGAGATTTAGGAGGAGAGCTGGGGACATGAAGGTAATTAATTATTTATTATTTAATTTTTTGCAGTAGTTTGTGAAATTTTTAGCATGTTATTTGCACTTCAATACCCCAAAGTTTCATCTTTTTTTAACTTTGATACCCTGTGAAGTTCAATTTTAGAACTTGATACCCCAAAGTGCAAAGAAGTTACTTTTTTTGTTCAAGAATATCAACACATAGAAAAGTAAATGATAAACAAATTTCCTTAACGTTTCCTTTTTTTTAACTACAGTATGGGCAGATTGAGGAACATAGTAAAGGTTTTGGGGGTATCAAATTGTTAAACTTACGTCAATTGTCAAAATAGAACTTCAGCATATCAAAAATAAATTAATGGCTGAAATTTTGGGGTAGTGAGGTGCAAATAAGTTAACTTTTAGGATTGTCGATTGTGAGTTGCTAAAGTCAGATGCTTTCTGTGTAGATGGCTACTTTGGCTACTTATTTTGGACTTGGACAGCAAAGGCACAGGTGACACTCTCTAGCTCTTCCTATATTTTGTGTTCCTTTTAAGAATTTTAGGTAAGATTTTTGATATGGAAATCGATTGTTTACAGGAGCTTAATTTTCAGTTCCTGCTTACGCTCAGAATGATGAGGAAGAAGGTGAAGAAGGAGAAGAAGAGGGCCTGAGTAAATGTATAGGGAAGAAGTTGAAGAAGCTTCTGTAGTGTCATAGCCATTGTAAATAATTTATGTAAAAGTTTGTAAACAATTTATGTATCTCTCTACTATTTTGGTGAATGTATTATTTGAATATAATAAAATTTGATATTGGAATATAATTAGATTGTGTTGGATATAAATATATTTTATTGTTCAATATTGTGTACATGCACTCAAAGTAGATTTTGCAAAAAAAAACACTGTAGCATAGCATCCTAGATGAAAATTACGTCTAGGATGTTCAAATTCCGTCTAGAATAGCTTTTTTTTTAAAAAAAATTAAAAAAAATTAAAAAACATCCTTCCGTCTAGGATGAGTATCCTAGACGGAAATTTCCGTCTAGAATACTCATCCTAGACGGAAATTTTTTCCGGCTAGGATGAAGTATTCTAGACAGAATTTCTGTCTAGAATATTCCGTCTAGGATGTATTCTAGACGGAATTTCCGTCTAGAATACAACATCCTAGACGGAAACATACTAGATGCGTATTCTAGACAGAATTCCGTCTAGAATACACATCCTAGACGGAATTCTGAGTATCCTAGATGGAATTTTCCGTCTAGGATACCTTATTTTTTACTTGTGATAATAAATTTATTAGCTTTGTAGAGCATACATCTTTCAATCTTTTACTTACACTCAAAACTAATCTAATACAAATATTAAACTCATCTTGTCAATATGTTTCCCAAACACCTTTTGACTCAAAGGTTTAGTCAATATGTTTAGCACATTATCGATAGAAGCAACTTTGGTAATGTCTATGTCTCTTGACAATTTCCCTTACCAAGTAATACTTTCTTTCAACGTGTTTTGATCTATAATGAGAATCTCTAGCTTATGCAATTGCTCCACTATTATCACAATGCAAAGTGATGGGAGATTCAATTGTAGAACAACACCTAAATCTTACATGAATTTTTTCAGTACGGCCTACTTCTTTTGGTGCTTCACAAGTTACAATATATTCTGTTGTAGTTGCAAAATCAGTTATAGTTTCTTGCTTACAACTACTTCAACTAATAGCTCTATTATTTAATAGAAAGACAAATCCTAATGTAGATTTTCTATTGTTAGGATCCGACTAAAACTTAGAATCAGTGCGTCCTTCAACTTTTAAAGAATCACCAAACACCAAACCATAATATTTTTTTTAGTTAAGATATTTAAAAATATGCTTAGTTGTTCAATGTTATTTTCCAAGATTGGACTAATATCTACCAACTCTACTTACTTATTGAGTAATATCTAGCATAATACACAACACTGCATGCATAAGACTACCCGTAGCAGAAGCATATGAGCATTGCTTCATTCTTTCCAACTCCTTATTTACATGAAGTGACATTTTCTAATAAAAACCGACTCCATTCCAAAAGAAATAAGCCTCTTCTTCGAGTCTTGCAAAGTAAAATTGGCCACTACCTCATCAATATAAGTAGATTGGGATAATGATATTAACATGTTAGCCATATCTCTATAAAGTTAAATTCTCAAATTATATGATGCTTCACATGAATCTTTCAAAGAGAATTTGTTAGACAACCATAATTCAATAGTTGATAACAATTTGACATCATTCAAATTGTTTAGTAGCATTTGATAAAAGTCAATTTTTTAGTTAGAAGTATTTGATTATATCATTCATAAAGAATTTGTTAGATAATCATATGATTTGTATTCTTTTAAAGACTTTTGGAGCTTATTTGTAAATTTTGAATATTTAGCAGTAGTTTCATATTGTTAAAAATGCTAATCGAAGATTTTAGGTTTTCAATATGTTATATATA